CATGTCCCTACAAAGGACACAAACTCATCGTTTTTGATGGCTGCATAATATTCCATGGTGTATATGTGCCACATTTTCCCTATCCAGTCTATCAATGGCGATCATTAAAAAATCTGGAGACAACAGATGCTGGAGAGGATGTGGAGAAATAGGAACACTTTTGCACTGTTGGTGGAAGTGTAAATTAGTTCAACCATTGTGGAAGACAGTGTGGCGATTCCTCAAGGACCTAGAAATAGAAATTCCATTTGACCCAGCAATCCCATTACTGGGTATATATCCAAAGGATTACAATCGTTCTACTATAAGGACACGTGCACACGAATATTCATGGCAGCACTGTTTACAATATCAACTTTTTCTCTTGACATATTCTTTCTCACAGTTTACCCTATTTCCTCCTTATCACTTTTTTGCTTCAACATCTGCATGGATTGGGTTCCAGTTGAGAATGCCTACTGGAATCCTGTATACTTGTGATGGCCTATACCTGATGCCACTTTTCCACCTCTTGGGAGAAGTATTCACTGATCACCTCATTGGCATTTTCGTAAGGATTTGTTTATCCTTCACATCTTGCACTGTTGTTACTCCAGATGATGGAAGGTGGTGAATAAGGACTTAGACTCTGAGTCAAATGTAAATATCAGGCTTCATTTTACTCACCCAGGAACCTTGGGTAAGGTGTTTGGCATCTCTAAGCCTCAGTTTTTTTCATTTGTTAAATGAGATTGATGATGATGGTGGTTGGTGGTACCCATTTTGTTGAGTTATGGTAAGGATTTAGTTAAGATGATGGATGTGACGTATTTGGTACAGTGTTAGCATTCCGTATATATTGAATTAAACAAGACTCATCTATCAGAGGAGGGAAAGTTGATCAGTAAAATTCCCTTTACCTCTGAAATTCTATGACTATGTAATCTTTTAAAAATACTTTTCTGAAAATAATATCTTAATGGAAACTACCTGAATCTTTTTAGTCTCTGGGAAAATATACATCTATGGAAGGTGGTGAGGAGGTGGGGGAAGTATGTATGCAGAAGTACTTTGAAAAACCTGTGATAGACTTCAGAAAAAGATATCTTGTATGCAGAGGCATACAGAGTAATATAACGGACTGTGGAGACTCAGAAAGGGGAGGTTGGAGGGAGGATGCAAGACAAAAAGCTACGTATTGGGTACAATGTTTACTACTCGGGTGAGAAGTGCACTAAAATCTCAGATTTCATCACTTTCAATTCATCCATATAACCCAAAATCACTGATATCCCAAAAGCTATTGAAATAAAAAAAAATTAAGTAAAATTAAAAGATTAGCTTCAATAGCCTGAAAAAAGACACTGACCCTAAATTTAAAATAAAATTCTAAATTTAAAAATATTGTACTTATTTCTGAAAATTGATCCCATTTGTTTTCTAGTGAAAACCTGTGTGTGAGGGTTACTTACTACTAATAGAGGAGTTGCCCTAACCATGTTACCTTCCCAATCGCTGAATTCCTCTACTATTAGTAAGTAACTGTTTCAAGTGAGGTTACAATGTGCCTTTGCCAATAACTTGCTGGGTACCCTTGAACAACTCATTTCACATTTTTATGCCTCATTTTGTCATCTGTCCAATGCTAATAATAGCATCAGAGCTGCCTACCTCTCTGAGTTGTGAAGATACAATGAGAACAAAGCTGAGAAAGTCCTTGAACGAGTTTAAAA